TTGTCCCGGCTCCAAGAAAGAGCAAACCAGCCCGTCCTGACTTCCTGGGGCTCCTGGCCCAGTAGCAAAGCTAGGAATCAGCCCCACACCGTAGGAGGGACCTTCAGGGGGCATGCGGAGGATCTATAACAAGGCCCTGGGGTGGTCTGAAGCGTCAGGGAAGGGTCCTCTGAGGCCCAGGCACTAAGCCAAGGCCGAGAGTGAGCAGGAGTTATCTGGGCAGAGGGCTGGAGTGGGAGGACCCCCTGGGGGGAGGCATAGGGCTGAGGAGCCATGAGAGGCAGGTGTCTGGAGTCCTGAGAGGGCGGGAGAGGGAGAGAGACAGAGCTGCAGCCTGGGGTCAACAGGTTTTAACCGAGCGCGCGTCACGGAAACGCCACGAAGGCCTGTCAGGAAGGGGTCGGGAGCACCAGGGGTGGCATGTCCCGTGGTCAGAGCAGCCAGAGCCCATGGGCCCCAGCCTGTCCTGAATGGTGGGCAAGGTGTCTGCTCTCCCTTAGGGTCTAAAGCAGAGCCAGGAGCCGTTATCCCACGGACGGGCTGAAGGGGCCACGGCAAGTGCACCCACTTCTCAGAGAGCACCTCTGGCGTGGAAAGGACAGCGGCATCACCGGTCTGAGGCCCCGCATCCGACTCCGAGGCCCTGCCACTTCGCAGCTGGGTGACCGGGTAGATGACCTGACCTTCCTACGGCTCGGTTTCCTCCTGTGAAGGGGGAAACAATGCCCACTCCACAGTGTGGCCGAGAGGATTAAGTAGGTTAATATGTTCCAGGTGCTCAGAACACCATGTGGCACAGAGCAAGTGCGGGGGGAGAGGTGCGGTGGTGCGGGAGGCGGTGAGGATGACGACGCGCAGTACCGGCTGCCAGCGGGGTCAGCACCGTGGACAGCGCCCAGGGCACCTGGCCCTGCTGAAGCCCCAAAGCTTAGGTGTGCGGTCAATGGGTTTCCCAGCGTAAAACGGATTTGGGGGATTCAGGCTTGGGGCACTCCTGAGCAGATGCACCCCTGTTTCTTTCTCTGCACACTGGGACTCTGGGAGCATGAACAGAGATAGCCTGTAAGCCCTGGCCGGTTTGGCTCAGCAGTTAGAGCATTGGCCTGCGGTCCACTGAGACCCGGGTTCGGTTCCTGCTAAGGGCACGTACCTTGGTTGCAGTTTGTCCCCGGCCCTGGTTGGGTTGTGCAGGTGGCAACCACTCGATGTGTCCCTTTCACGTCAATGTTTCTCTCTCTCTCTCCCCCTCCCACTCTATCTGAACAAAATATGGAAAAATGTCCTCGGATGAGGATAAAAAAAAAAAAAAGAGAGATAGCCTGTAAGGTGCCGACATGGTCATGGGCCGGTGTGGGTGGTGGGTCGTGAGTCCTGGGTCGTGGGTCTACAGCACATCAGGCCCTGTGCTCACTGGTGTTCACCCCCAGCCAGGCACCAGAGACGTACCCCACGGAATGGACGAGAACAGAGAGGATTAGGAGGGCTGAGTGACCGACTGGCAGGTCTGGTGAGTGAATGACAGAAGCGGGCTGGAGCCCAGGCTCCAGGTTTTTCGGACAGCAGGTCCCCTCCATTGTTCCCTGCATGGGGGACAAGCCCAGCCTTCAAGCTGCCCTGTGCTGACGGGGTTTGAGGCCTCTGCCCCCCACTGCTGCCCCACCTCACCCCCAGCCTCGCTTGGGAACTGTTCTATAAAGGGGAATGAGACATTTGTTCCAGACTGAGGGTGGTGCACTGCCAGCTCCCGCCATGAGAAATCACTCGGGGGCGGGGGCAGAAAAATCGGTGGAGCCATCTTTCCAGTTCTCCGATACTAAAAATAAAGCCGGGGCCCATCGGCCGAGGCTGCCCGTGCAATCTGTTACTTCTGAGATGCACTGAACTCCAGAAAAATCACCCAGTCTCAAAATGCTGGTGTTAAAGGGTGTGAGAGGTTGTTTAAAGAGATGTGGAACAGGCACTGGGGTAGGAAAAAAAACAATCAGAGAAGCTGCAGGAATTTTGAGAACCAGCCTTAAATACCCCAGGGGGCTATTGTTTAAGAGAGAAGAGAGTGCCAGCCACCTGCTGGGGCCGATTGACCTTTACTCCTTACACAGGTCCTCACGGTACAGCAGTTGGCCCAGTTTCCATGCCTGTCAATGGATGACCGGAAGGTAAGCAATGAATCTGGGCCCAGGTGCTCCAGATGCCAGCACCACACTGCCCCTCCCCCTCCGCAGCACTTAGGACCTGAGCACCCCAAGTCCAGATCGACAGGGGGGGTCTACATCCTAAGACCAGTTTGCAACTATGAGCCTCCTCACTCCGGGGTCTCCACCTTTAACCATCCAGACGTGCCCGCGTTGTGTGTGGGGACACAGAGAGGGTGCGGACTGGGTTCCTGATCTCAAGGGTGTCACCAGAAAATAGGGCGGTGGTCACATTAACAGACGAGGTGAGCCCAGGGTGACAGGGAGTGTGGGTTCCGAGGGGCTCTGATCAGCCTGGGAGGGGCGCAGAGTGGACACAGCAGAGGTGACCGGGCAAAGGGGGCCAACAGGAGCCAGCCGGCTGCAGGAGGGAGGGTCATCAGAGGACTGGCGGAAGACAGAGCACTGGACAGGCCATGTAACGCGAAGGGAAGCCCGGTGGCCTGGAGTTTCGGGCAAGCCTGATGCCCAGGACCCCAGAGAAGTGGGCCGGGCTAGTCACCAAGAGCCACAGGACACTGTTGGGTGGTTCAGACTCTGTCCTGAAGCCGATAAGGGGCGGCTAAGAGCTTTAAGCAGGGGACTGATGTGGTCAGACCAGCGGTCCGATGAGCCACTCACAACTCTAGGGGTGCTGGCTGGCCAGCTGGGTACAGAGGGATCCAGGTGACGGGCCAGGCAAGAATGGTGTGCCGAGCTGGGCCTCTGATGGGTGGAGGGCAGGACAGGATTCCAGGCCCATTGGGCACCTCTCCCCATTCTGTGGGTGAGGGGGGGTGCTGGGAGGGCTCCCCCCTTAGGCCTGGGTGGCAGATTAAGTTCCGTCCCTGCCCTGGCCAGTTTGGCTCAGCGGTTAGAGCGTCGGCCTGCGGTCTGGAGGTGAAGTTCCGTCCCTGTGACCTGATGCCCAGCAGGGGCTCAGGACTTACCAGCCCCCTCCCCTCTGCTCGGAGCAGCCAATTCCAGAATTAGCGGAGGAAGGGCCCTCTGAGCGGGCCTTCCTGTCAAATGGCCAAAACAATGCCCACTTTTCTCCCTTATTAAGGAAAAAGCCCTTTCTCTTTACAACCTTTGCTAAAAATCAATTCTGCTCAAGTGGAAAGTGTCACTGGGCAGACACAGGGGACAGCAACGCAGCAGAAAACCCAGTGGCCTCCAGGACCGAACCGCAGCCGCAGGAGGACAAGTCAAGATGCCGACAGCCAGAGTTGAAGGAATGGGACCCCCTGGCCCCAGGAGGTACTTGCTCAAAGGGTATCTCAACTTCAGAGCAATGCCCAGCTCGGCGCCCATCACAGCTGTCTGGACCCCACCCTGGAAATGAAACACCCTTCTCGTCCCTCCGCTGCTATCGGACCCCCCACACCTGCAGCCCTCAGTCCTGACCCCTTGCCTGGCAGCAGAGCTGGGCTCCAGGGGACGGGCGCTAGGTCTCCCTGTGTGCTGTCCGGCCGGCGGCCAAGCAGCAGCAGGCCACGTGGGGGCCACACGTGGCGGCCACACGTGGCGTGATTTCCAAACTGGTGCGATTGGGGAGGTTGGCACAGCCATCACAGACCCTGGGGACTCCGCCCACTCCTTCCTCTGCCTACCTGGCCTCCAGGCCAGCACGTCTGGGAGCCCCCCCTGCAGCCCTTAGCAGTGACGCACACCGCCCTCCACTCCTCAGGGCCGGGGTGCTTGGATGTCTGATCAACTACCAATGCGTTTTCACAACGTTAGAGGCTCTCCACAGGCAGGATCTGCAGCCAGGGAAGCCCCCCCGCCCCCACAGGGACCCCCAATCCATGGACGCCCCCTTCCTGTCACCAGCCCTCGCCTCCTCAGCTGGCACAGATCCTGGGTCAATCATCACTTCCACTCCCGTGCGCTCACCACCAGCCTTATGTCTGCATATGCACTTGGCACAACCGCCGCCCTGCTCACTCCACGCACCCAGCCTGCAGCCTCAGCCCATCGTGGCTGGAGAAAAGGGCAAGCTCACTGGTCCACTCGTCCCCACAGCACGGGTCACCTGCTCCCCTGCCGGACAGTGTACTCGTCTACTGTCTCGGTGGTTTGCGGTGGGTCTGCTCCAGGAGCGCAGGATACTATCTCCAATTCGAGCATCGGGAACAGGGCCCCCGCGCCTCCTTCTGGGCAACATCCTTCAAAGGAGCAATCCCGTGTCGAAGCTGGAAATGCGGACTCGGGCTGGAGGGGTGACACCTGCTAGGACTGAGCTCTGAGCAAGTCCTTGGGCTGGCTCCCTGTGACTCAGTTTCCTCATCCATAAAGGAGGATCATGACAGTACCCACCTCAGGGCCGCTGTGAGGGTGAGATGAGTTAATATTAACACTAATTATTACCAACAACTATTAGCCTTCGGAACAGCGACAACTTAGCAACCTGCCCGCTCGGCACTGCAGCCCCGGCGGCCACGCCGCGGCCCTTCCCCAGGACCGTGCTCCTGCTCCAGGTCGTTCCTCACCAGGTGTGGGCACTGGAGTCCACCCTACTGCCCCTAGCTTGTCCAGACATGGGGCCACCCACAACTCCATCCGGCTGGGCTCCTGACGCCCCGGGGAGGACGGTCCAGCGGTCCTCCGTCCCTGGATGATGGGGATCACGGCCACCCTGGAGGAGGGGAGGTCAAATGTAGGCCTCCTAGCCGCGGTTTTAAAGTGTTCACAAGTAACTCAGCGTGATCTCGTGTCTGCCTTCATTCACACACTGCAGACCCACCCGAGAAGCTGAACAAAGCAGAATCCCCCAAGCCAGCCCGCCCACCCGAAGCCACGTGGCGGGGGCTCAGCAGGAAAGGATACTGAAGCTGCGGTCGGTGATGGCCAGGTGCCAGAGGTTGATGCGCAGGTCGTCTGCTGACATGTATGTCTCGCAGTCGCTGTTGACGGAGATGGAGTTGATGTGGTAGGTGTGGCCATTGGCGAAGACCCTCCGCGGGCTCACCTCCACCATCAGGTCCATGGGCTTCAGCACGGGCACCTGCAGAGGAGGGTGGGAGGGCAGAGCTGGGCCGTGTGTCCGGGCAGGCCACGGGGCCAGGCAGCCACAGCAGGGCCGCGTGGCCCGAACTGGAGGCTGGAGTGGGCCAGCGGGCATCCATCCCGCACGTGTCGGAAATAAACAGTGTCGCGTGGCCAAAGTCCATCACCACCAGCCTTCAGGAAAGCCCACCTCCTTCGCTTGGCCTCCTGCAATGGATTCTGAGCTACCATGTGACTTTAAATAAGCGACTGAAACCCTTTGCATCCTAATTTCCTCATCTCCAAAATGGAACGAGAAGATACCATGGCAGAGTCAGCTGACTCGCCATCAAACATTTGTGTCCTTTCCACCAGGAAGGGACAAGTGGCTGCCCAAAGACTACATTTCCCAGCTGCCCTTGCAGCTGGCTGTGGCCACGTGAGTGGTTCTGACCAATGGGATGTGAGCACAGTGATGCCTGGCACTGGTTAAGAGGCGGCGGGTGTGCCTCTTCTACCCTCTTTCCCTTTCCACTGAAGGAAGGGGAGACGCCAAGCTTTAGGGATGGAGGCACATGGAATGGAAGGAGGCTGTGTCCCTGCCGGAGAGCCGGGTGCCAGTCTAGGAGTAAGAAGTCCATTTGTGCCCTGGCCGGTTTGGCTCAGCGGTTAGAGCGTCAGCCTGCGGTCCGGAGAGACCCGGGTTCGGTTCCCGCTAAGGGCATGTACTTCGGTTGCAGTTTGTCCCCGGCCCTGGTTGGTTGTGCGGGTGGCAGCCACTCCATGTGTTCCTTTCACGTGGATGTTTCTCTCTCTCTCTCTCTTCCTCTCTATCCCTCCCACTCTATCTGTACAAAAATTGGAAAAATGTCCTCGGGTGAGGAAAAAAAAAAAAAGAAGTCCATTTGTGTGTGCTCTGCCCTGCAGCGCCGCCAGTGTTAGCCTAACTCATTCGAACTGCCCCCTCGGAGGGCTGGTGTGGAGTCCCTGAGACAGCACCGATGCCTGCCTTTGCTTCCCTCCATGCCCTCAGCCTGGAATGCTCGCCCCCTTTGGACACCTAGTGGACCCTGACCCACCCTGATATGGAGGCAGCAGACCTGGGAAGTATAGCCTCCCCGGGAGGCAGAGGAGGGCACCCCGGGGTCCCCCAGCACACAGCCCACATCTCTACTGGGCTCTCAGCCTACACTGCTCTGTGAGGTCTTCAAAGGTACAAGACAGACGGGCAGGCAGACACGACGTCATTGACCTCTCCCAGGCCTGGCCTGGACTCGATGCCCAGGAAACAGGGGTTGGCACTGCCTTCCCCCCGTCGCTGGTGAGGAGCCGAGATGCCAAGAGGACCCTGACTTGTCTCAGTCTCAGGGTAGGAAATGCCAGGCAGGACCAGAGCCGGTGCGACAGCCCCTGAGGGTGTCCTGGCGGAAGGTGCAGCCTGGGGCCTGCCTGCCCGCTTCAGATCCTGCCCCGCCGCTCACTACTGCTACTTCCCCGGGACTCCCATCTCGGCCTCGGTTTCCTTTTCTGTAAAGGGGGTGATGCTGGTGCCCGAGGCTGGGCGACAGAAGAGCCACAGGCTCCCCTTCCCCCTGCAGCCTCAGTTTACAGTCAAGTGCCGTCTCAGGATGTGTGCGGCACAAAGAAAATCTCAGACGCTGGGAGGGAAGCAAACGGGATTCCCGTGGGCCACCGGCTGCCCCAAGCCAGGTGCTAACTGCACCCTGCCCGCCAAAGGAAACCCTCCCAGGCTTCCTCGGGCTGGCGCGGGGCAGGGCCCCACCACCACCGTTACTCAGCATGGAAGCTCCTCGGCTCCCTGCTTTCTCGGGATCTCTTTGTGCAATTTGCCAGTGACTCAGGGGCCAGCGTGTTTGAATGTGTATTTCTCCTCCTCGAACAGCACCGACAGCCGTTTCGTATTTACGACAATTCACCGGACGCTTCGCGCGTCAGCGAAGTCATTTCAGAAAAAGTGAGTCATCACCTCCGTTTTGCTGGTGAGGAAACTGAGGCACGGAGCAGGGGAATGCCCACAGCCCCCCAGCGGCAGTGCCTGGAGCCAGGAGCGGTTTGTCTGGGAGCCTGGGGGAGGCGCTACCACCACCCGGCCCCGGTGGCACACCCGCTCTGGGCAGCTCACACTCAGCTAAGGAAAGAGCAGAAGGCAGACGGCATTTCATGTGCCGGGAACCAGCCTTTTCAAATCTGCTGGAACGTGCAAACGAGCTGGAGAGAGCGGTCCCTTCCCGACACTCGTCCCTGCTCATTCCTGGCACGCGGAGGCCACCTCCTCTGAACACCATGAAACTCGGACCCCATCCTGCCCTCAGGCTCTGTGTTCACTGCAGCCTCCCAGTGCCCACAGAAGGGCCTGGCACACAGTAGGCACGCAATAAGTGTGTGCTGAATGAATAAATTCAAATTATCTGCGTACCAGCTTCACTTTCAGCAAGCATGTCTGAAGCACCCACTATGCTCCTGGCACAGTTCTGGGCGCCAGGGACAGACGAGGCAGCCTCAGGACCCTTCCCGTCCTGCTGCAGGAGGAAAGGGACCAACTGCTCCAGGGTCCTCCCAGCAGGACGCCACCAGCCATCCTGTGGCCCTCCCCTGGGACAGGGACCCCATGGAGGAGACGGGATGCCGACTCTGGACATGACTTCCCTGGGTTTGCATCCCAGCTCCTACTCCCTCATCTGCGAAATGGGGGTGACAATCCCACCTCCTAGGATTTTGGTGAGGGTTCAATGAGTCATTACAGCCAGAGTGCTGGGAAGACACATGCTGGCCACAGAGTGTTCATTCTTGCTCCCGGTGAAGAATCAGAGACTGGCGGAGGCTGGGAGCCCAGCTCAGAGTCACACCGCCAGGAAGCCGCTGGATTTGAACCCAGGCCCCGTGACTCCAGAACGCTTTCTTTCGTGTCTCGCCACTGGAGGAGGGAAGAGTCCTTTTGCCTTTGGGTCACGGTGAGGACTAGCGTTGGCTTTAGCACAGCGGTGTGTGCGTCGAGGCGATCTGAGCCGAGTCTTCGTCAGGCTGCGAGGGCCTCAGCTATATCCGCCCAGCTCAGCTCACGGGCTCCCCTCTGGCCCTGCACACACTCAGCTGGGCGGCTGCAAGTGAGTTCCTGCTTCCCTGCGCCTCAGTTTCCCTCTCTGAGTAACGAGGGGCTGCAGGACTTGCTCTCCACCCTCCGTGGCAGCCGAAAAGCTCTTCATGGAGCTGCAGCACCTCGCCCCCTCCCCACGAGACCCCCAGGAGCGGACGATCATACCGCTTGGAGGCACGAAGCAGGGAGCTGACCACAGCCAGGATCTGAAATGACTGTGACTCCGGCCTCAAGGGCCCTTCAAGTCCTGAAATCCCCATCGTCTCACGACAGAGATGTGCTCCCCGCCGGCCGAAGTCTTCCGCGCGCATCTTACCTGCAGTGACGTCACGGTGGACAGGTCCTTCAGTTTCCCTTCCTCATCTTTCAGGTTGTAGCCCTCGGGCCTCTTATCTCGTTCGGTAATCTTCCACAGTTTGATGGTTTTGTCTTTAAAAACAGAACAGAGTGAAACGAGACCCACGATTAACAGAGCGAATGGAGTGTCCACCCACCCTCGTCCACCAGACACGGACCCATCACCCTGACATTACTCAGCCGGCACCCCGTGCTCAGACATGTGGGTTCCCTCCAATGTTCTCCTATGTGGGCAGATGCAGCGAACACCTGTGCATGTGGACGTCTGCCTTCCTCTCCAGCTCCTCAGCTGATCCTAACGGTGACATGCTGGGTCAAAGGGGAGTGGCCAGTGTCTACACCGATTTCCAGGAAGACTGCACCCACGAGCCTCGAACCCTGCCAGCCCTGCACTGACGTACAGCAGGGTCCCCCAGTTATCTCGGAGTAGCACCTCTCCAGCTGCCTCACGTCTCTGGAATCCCGCCAAGGACATCAAAAGAATCATCTTGAGTGGCTGCGATGGTCAATTTTATGTGTCAACTTGGCTAAGCCACAGATACCAGATAGTTGGTCCGAAGTGTGTGAATGTCACCGTGAAGGTATTTTTTAAGTGAGATTACCATTTAATCCACAGAATAAAGCCAATTGCCCTCCGTAACATGGGTGGGCCTCCTCCAATCAGTCGACGGCCTTAATAGAAAACAGACTGAGGCCCCCCGAGGAAGAGGGCATTCCGCCAGCAGGCAGCCTACGGACTCGGGCTGCAGCATCAGCTGGTGTCCTGCCTGCCCTGCAGATCTTGGACTTACCGACAATCACATGGGCCAAGTCCTTAAAATAAACCTCTCTATATATATCTACACACACTCTCAACCCCTTGGTTCTGTCTCTCCCGAGAACCCTGACTGCTACAGTAGCCAAAACCAACACGGAGCGTTCATGAAAAACAAGGGGAGAAGCACAATTAGACATTGATAGGTGCCCAGGGCCATGCCCTCAGGAAGGGAGGAGCTGGGATTTAAACCCAGGTGGATGCTTTGAAGGTGGGGTGTTAGGGCTCTGGAAGCTGACTTCCCCCCGAGAGGCGGGAGGAGAATGACAAGTCCCTCTTAAATGTTTCTTTTAAGAAGCACACCTATGAAGCTCAGAGGTGCCAGCTCTGTCCTAAGCCTGTTATGACATTATTTCGTGTCATTGTCCCAACAACCCCACGAGGGTTGGAAGAGGAAGTGGCGGGGCCAGGGTCGGACTGCAGTGGGGTCCTCGTGGAGGACCTCTCCCTGCTCTGCTCCAGCGTGGGGAGGCCCACGGGCTCCACCATGGGTTTGCTGAGCGTGTGGCTGCGCCTTGCACCCAGCAGGGGACTCAGATGCTACGCTTGGTGCAGAAGCACGGAGAAGGCAGGAGCCCTCAGGGCCGACCTGGCTCAGCAGGGCCACCTGATCAGCTGAGAGACCTGGGCAGGCTCACTGGGCCGTGACACCCAGCAGAGGCCGGAGGGACGAGGGGCTGGCCAGGTGAAGGGAGCCTCTGATGATGGGGCTGAGAGATGGGGGAGGAGCAGAAGGCAGAGGGTGTGGGAGGCAGAGCCTCTGGCCCCAGGCCCATCCCTGGCTGAGGCAAGATGGCTGCAGGGGACAGGCCCCCGAGGGGACCCTGTGAAGCAGGAGTCCAGCCGGAGCCTCCTCAGGGACCTGAGTAGCAAAGGGCCGGCCAGGTTCCCAAGCAGTGTGCCTGCCACACCCCGTAGGGACGACCTGTGCCCTGGGTGGCCTGGCGTCCTGAGGGGCAGGTGAAGAGTTAGGTTTCCTGTGGTCCCTGACCTGCTCCTTCATCAGGACCATCAACCCTCCACCCCAGAGGAAGTATCCACAGTGATGTTCACGGTGCTGTACACAGAATCAGGGGAGTGGCCCTGTGTCCAACAGGGGAAAGGCCGAGGACCTGGGGCGTTCACAGCATGGAATGTACGTGCTGGTCCCAGGAGTCCCGAAGACCAAGAGTGCTCACAGCGTGAGTGAGAAAGAGCACTGGACGCCCACGCTGCATCACACGCCCCCGCCTGCACGCACACATGCTCAGACATCCGCACAGACACACTCAGGCACACAGACACACACACGTATTCAGACACACACACACATGCTCAGGCACACACACACATGCTCAGGCACACACATGCATGCTCAGCCATACACATACCCATACCTGCTCACACACATGCCCATGCCTGCACACACACACACACTCAGGCACACACACACATGCTCAGGCACACACACACGCTCAGGCACACACACACATGCTCAGGCACACACACACAATGCTCAGGCACACACACACATGCTCAGGCACACACACACATGCTCAGGCACACACACACGCATGCTCAGGCACACACACACACATGCTCAGGCACACACATGCATGCTCAGCCATACACACACCCATACCTGCTCACACACATGCCCATGCCTGCACATACACACACACTCAGGCACACACACACATGCTCATGCACACACATGCTCAGGCACACACATACGTTCAGGTACACACACACACTCAGGCACACACACACATGCTCATGCACACACATGCTCAGGCACACACACACGCTTAGGCACACACACATGCTCAGGCACACACATGCTCAGGCACACACATACGTTCAGGTACACACACACGTTCAAGTACACACACATACTCAGGCACACACATGCAAGCTCAGCCATACACATACTCATACCTGCTCACACACATGCCCATGCCTGCACACACACACACACTCAGGCACACACACACATGCTCAGGCACACACACATGCTCAGGCACACACACATGCTCAGGCACACACACACAATGCTCAGGTACACACACACACATGCTCAGGCACACACACACATGCTCAGGCACACACACACACACACATGCTCAGGCACACACACATGCTCAGGCACACACACATGCACACAGGCATGTCACCTCACCGTTGGTGGAGAGCAGGGAGTGGGCGGCATTCTGCTGTGGCAGCCATTTGATCTTGTTGATTTTCTCCTCTATCTCCAGGCTCTTGAGATAGTCGAACTCTGGCTCATGGCTCTGGAAAGTGCTGTAGACGTCATACTCGCCCTGGCTGTGAGGTGCATTTTTACTCTGCAGGGAAATCAGATGGGGCGCTGAGCTCCAGGACGGCAGGGTGGGTGGGAGCAGGCACCGAGCCCGGCCAGGGTGCGTTAACCCGCGGCGGGCCTGACAGCCATGGCGACCAGGCACCAGCAGTGCCCTGGACCCCGCCAAGGGTCACAGAAAATCTGCTTTTAAAATCTCCTTGCTGCCGAGCCCCGCTCTCCCCTGGCCCAGTGAGGACGGCAGTCACAAGCTGGCTCATGTTTACTGAGCACTTACTACGTGCGGACACCGAGCTGAGTGCGTCTCCTGCCTCATCTTCTATCCTCAAGGGCCCTCCATGTTGGGTGCCACAACCTCCCATTTCACAGGTCAGCAAGGGGAGACTCGGGGTGACTAGGCCTGCCAAGGTCACATGTCCACTCAGTGTCAGTCCCTCCGCTGGGCCTGTCTGAGGCAGAGGCTGAGGCCCTGACCTGACCCTCATGGCCAAGCCGGCCTGACAGGTACAACACTGTCCACTTTCCTCGGGGGCGGGCCCCGTCCGGTGTGGCAGCACAGCCCCTTACATAAGGACCCTCCTGGCGGAGCCCCAAACTAGCGAGGTGGTGAGTCCCCACAGGCAGCAGGGGCTACTTCCCCAGCAGACAATTCCCGTTGCTATGACAACATGAAGCTACAGCCAGAAACCCAGCGCCTGGGAGCAAATTCAAGACATTAAGCCAAGCACACTGTTAAGTTTTCTGTTAAGTTTTAAAAAGTATTTACCGTTACCTTTCCACACCTGTCTTGCTTCTCGGAATTTACAAAGTTCTTCACTATTTTTGCTCTGATTCACTAAGTCTCCCAGGAGCATGGGCTAGGACAAAGGTCAGTGGGACCAGAATTTTAGAAAAACATAAAGGAGAAAAATTCAAAGCGGAGAATCTCGCATCTACCAATTTAATTTCTTTCTGCCCTTTGACAAAAAAGAAGGCTCGGCCTTGCAATCCTCGGAGGGACACACCGTTTGGATCACCGACTCTGTACCCGACTTCCGGCTGGGTCCTCAGCTACCTCAGCCCCCCATCTGCAAAGTGAGGGTGCTGACCACACTTCCCCGCCACCAGGGCTGCGGTGGGGGGAGATGGAAGTCAGAGCTCCCCCACCTCCTTGTCCAGCACAGAACCCCAGCAGGTGTGCTGCCTGAGCCGGGCTCCCCAAGGCAGGGTGCTGGGGAGGGGACAGTCACGCACAGCCTTGGTATCAATCCCTGGTTTTTGCTCCCTAGCTGGGGTGACTCCTCCTGTGAAATGGGGTGTCAGTCCCCACTCTTTGAGGTAGGCAACAGGAGTAGTCCGTGCGCAGAGAATGCAGCCCGGTGTCTGCACGCAGTAGGTGCTCAATGGACAGGAGCCTCTTTGTCTAGAGTTTCTTTTGGGGGTGCAGAAATGGCACCAGGGCAGGGTGCACAGGCCCACCCAAAGCAAAGCCGCCGTCCCCTGCCTGAGGGCTGGCCCCTCAGCTACAAGAAGGCCTCCTGCCCGGCAGCCGTGGCCGGGACCGCGCCAGCTCTCCCAGGCTCGGGCCAGTCCAGTTGAAGGCTACCCCGGAGCAGCAGCTGAGCCCGCCTGTCCCGTCTCTCCAGGGTCCAGGACACACGAGCAATCCACATTGAGCGGGCCCGAGGACTCCCTGCCCTGCACCTGCTGGTCCCCCTGCTGCCGCCACACCCTTTCCATCCAGCCCTGGGGTCCTGCTGGGGAGGCAGGTGGTCTCCCCAGGATGCCATCCTGGAGGAATGCAGGGGCACGCTGCAGGGTAAAGCCCCCCACCCCCAGGCCCCGCGCACCTCTGGCTCCCGCTGGAAGATGACGACCCGGCCACCCTTGTCACCTGTGGCCAGCAGCTCTCCCGTGTGGTTGAACTCAACAGTAGAGATGATATCGGCTGGGAGAGGGGGAGAGAGACAGGAAGGCATGGCTCGTTAGGACCCCAGTACTGTGCAGTTCATCAGAACTGTGCCCACCTCACGCCCCAGAGGCCCTGTACCCCCAAGCACTGCCAAGGGGCACCTGCCCCTCCCCACTGGCTGTTCCTGGGCAAGCTGCACCCTCTCCCCCCCCTCCCCTTCCAGGGGGGTTGGAGGGTTTCCTCCTGTGCAGCCAGGCGACCAGAATGCAAGACCCGCCCGACTCTGGGGCCAGAGTCCAACTACCCCTTCCCAGCCCCACTGCGCTCCCGTGGGTGGGACCCCTGTGATTCTCACATCCTGGTGTGGACTCTATAGACACAGCATCGCTAATCTGACCGGAACACAATGGACCACGCCTCCCAGTGGCCGCAGGTGGGGCACAGAGCTGGCTCCACCCCTGTCTGTTCTCCTTACAGCTGCCAGGTGACAGTTCCCCGAGTCAGGTGTCTCTGCTCAAAACCCTCCCCTGGTCCCCACACCCAGTCCTGATCCCTAATCCCTCCCAACCGCCCTCTTGGAGTGGCCCCCACCCCCGGGCGGGCGACGGCAGCTCCATCCCAAGGCTTAGAGTCTCTCTGTCTCTCTGTCTCTCTGTCTCTCTCCCTTTCTCTCTCTCTGCCTCCCGTCCCCTGCCTCCCGCCCTCTTCCCTCACCCACTGGCTCAGTCTCTGCTCCTGCTCTGCCTCCCCCTGAGGAATGCGCAGCCTCTATGGCTCTGCCGCCCTCCTCCCAGCCCGGCCACAGGCCTCAGCAGAGAGGGCAGCGAGGGGGGCCGCGCTCAGCCTCCGCGGCTCCCCATCTGGTCTCTCAGAGGTCTGAAGCCATTTGTGACCTGCAGTCCCCGGAGGTAGACCACATCACAGCCTAAATCCTCCCCCCTCTCCTGCACCTGGGACCCAGCTCTGCTGACCGTCCTGTGCCGGGCCACCTGCCCCCCCCCACCCCTGACTCTGGTCTGGGCCCAGTGATGTGCCTGGGCCTGCAGGACACCAGCCGACAAGCCACCGACCTGGGCCTCAGCCACTGCCAGGAGAAGGACCCACCCAGACCAGCTCATTGGCCCACGAGGACCAGGAGGAGGACGACGCTCAGCCCCTCAGCCAAGCCAGCCCCAGGCAGGGCCCCGGGGCTCCAACAAGCCTCCATTGGCAGAATCAGCAGACGCATGACGACAAATATTTGTGCTGAACGCCAGGGAGTCCCGTGTGTTTTTAACTCAGTACAAAGTAACGGACACCCTCCCTCCCGGCCTCGCCTCCCGCCCTCCCCACTGCTGACTGTTCCCAGCTCTGGCTCTCCGCTTTTCTCAAAAGCACAGGCCACCTGGTCTCCAGAGCTGCTCGCTCAGCCTCGGGTGCTTTCCCCACTTCTGTTCAAGGAATGCGTCTTTGTTTCCCCAGCAGTGGCTGGCAGAGGCAGCCCCCGGCCGCCCCTGGCCCCCGAGCCCCAGGTAAACGCCAGCTTCGCCGGGAAAGACAAGAGGAGGAAGGTGAGCCGGAGCAGACGGCAGGCTGGGCGCCGTCGTCCATCCCGAGATAAGCACGTTTCATTAAACTTAAAAAGACGAGGACAGCAGCGCTCTGGAAGGCGGTCCCCGAGTGGGGGACAGGGAATGGGGTCAGGCCCGGGGGCTGGCACTGCCCTGCGCGGCAGCCTGCGGCCCAGGGACAGAGCCACACGCCAGACCACAGCCCGGCCAGCGTGCCCAGACGTGGCACTGTTCCTGTCATTTCCTGTCAGCAGCCCCTAAGGGGGAAAGAGCAGGATATAAAATTGTATATAAAATGTTTTTAATTATATAGACCAGTGATCACCGCCACGTCCAACGGGGAACAAAGCGGCAGAGAAAAAAGCCTGGAAGAGACTCGTGTTAGCTGAGGCTGCTTTAAGGTGATTGAAATAAAACGTTTTCCTTCTCTTTCTACTTGTCTATGTCTTCTGCATTTCCTGTAGTGATGTATATTTTAATAGCTCTACTGAGGTATAATGGTTACGCAAAGATGCATGTGTTTAACATATATGGTTTGGTGAGTTTGGACATATGCATAATTTATATTATTTTTATGATGGAGAAATAACAATGCTATTAAATTAAAATGGCAGCGTGACCACTGGTACCCAGAGCCAATGTGGTCCATAATGTTGGGTGGTTACCACAGTAACAGACACTAAATGTCTGCAGGCAATTTACAATGTATATATGTCAGTTTCACATTCGCTGCCTCCTCCAACCCTCCGGCCCTGAAGGAGGTGTGGCTATGGTTTCTATTGGCCACTGAGGACACCTCCTCCCCCACCCCCAGCCTGGCAATATCCTCCTCAGCCGTTCATGGACCAGCCCGAAGTCCTGGGCTGGAGTGCCTTGGCTGTGAGGCCATGGGCTGGTCACACTGTGTCTCAGTATTGTCATCTGTAGCATGGGTACAGTTGCATCTGCCCAGGACTAGAAACTCCAGTGAGCCGATGGAGGAGAGAGGGTTCGGGAGGAAGAACAATGACGCTGAGGAACAACCAGCTACTCACGTGTCCCGAACAGAAAGCTAAGGCTCTTTCTCATCCTCCCTCCTCGTGGTGGTCAGCTCAGGAGTGTGCCTGATAAAGCTATGGCTCAGCCTCACCGTGCAGCTTTGGGTCCTGACCACTGGTCCCTCCAGTCTGTCCTGTGAACACTTACAGCGTCGCAGCCAGACCTCAGGCCCTGGGCCGGTGGGTGTTTAACTCTGTTCACTGTTGCAACGTGTCACTTTGAGGGAAAAATCCCATGAAAACCTGTGCAGTCCTTGCACTGGTGGGGTCCCCTCTCCTCTGCTACAGCTCTGGGGAGTCCCCCAAATGACGAGGCAGATTGGACCACTGGACAAGAAGGCTCCAGCCAACGCCCTGGGACCGGGCCCAACGAGTCCTGTCGGTGGGGAGGGAGCCAGAAGCCCCTCGGCAGACCGATGTAGGCGCGGGAAGACGTCAGAAGGGATGTCCCACGTGACCAGCCCGGGGCAGGTTCACAGTGGAAACCAGAGCCAGAGACGGAAAGTCAGGATGGCACTGGGGGTTGAATTGTGTCCCCAAATACAGGCTGAAACCCTAAGCCTGGCACCTGTGACTGGCCTATGGAAACAGGAGCTTTGCGGTGACCCCGCTAAGATGTAAGGACTGCTGCCCCCACAGAAGGCCAAGTGCAGACACAGGGACACAGCACGGGAGGAGGCCACACGACAACAGAGGCCGAGACTGGAGCCACGCGTCCACCAGCCAGGAAATGTCGGGGGTCGCTGGCCACCACCAGGGCTGCCAGAGGCCTGGGGCGGCTTCTCGCCGGAACCTTCGCCTTGATCTCCGACGTCCAGAGCGCGAGCACAGTCTCTGTGGTTCCGAGTCACTGAGTGTGTGGGGACTTGCTGTGGCGTCCTAACCAACACAGAGGACAGGGCTGCAGCCCGGCTGCGGCTCCTGCTGGGGCGCACGGGGGGAGGGTCGGCCCTGGGATCCCAAAGATGCCCTCTGTGGCGTCATCAAGGGGAAGGTATTCCAGTCCCAGCCCCGGCACACACCCGCTGTGAGACCTCCCCCGAGTCACTCACCCTCTCTGAGCCCTGAGGCCGCGTCTGTGAAGTGGGAACTGTCATCCCTGCCCCGCCACAGTTCTCCGGGGCTTTATGTGAAATGCAAACGATCTGTGGGCGGGAGAGTTCCCTGGAAACTCTGGCCGAGGCCGGCACACCGTGGGGGGAGACAGACGTCCGTCGGGGGACGCCTGCCCTGCTGGCCCATCACTGTCCATCACCGAAAGTGCCATCGACACCATTAATGAGCCATCAGACGTCGGAGCTCACGGCAGAGAGGGGGCCTCGGAAAGCCCAGCTGACCCTCCGGTGGGACATTGTACATGATTAACACTGTCACAGGCGTCAGGGCTGATGAGGACGGAGCGGGAGCGGGAAGGGGCCGGAGGCCGGCGCCCGGCAGCTGGGGCAGCACTCGGTGAGCAAGCTGAACCCGTCCTCCGGCCCCTGGGGGGAGTGCCAGGCAGGACCCTGGGGAAGGAGACAGGGAGCCGGCCCCACGGATGCCCCCCGTCCAGCAGACACGTCAGAGGAGAGGAGCTGGAAGTGAGGACTTCAGGGTGGGAGCCAAGGGGGCCTCCTGGAGACAGTGACACAGGAGAGGGGCCCTGAGGAGCAGGAGGGGTGGCCCCGATCACTGGTCCCTGTGTCCACACCCTCGACAAGGTGGAGCCGACTGCCGCCCTGGACTCTGCCTTGGCCCGGGGTGCGCTGCGGTGGACAGACTGTGGAGGGCGCAGAGGGCGCTGGTCCCCAGCCGAGGCCACAGAGGCCCGGGCTTCAGCTCTCAGGGGGACCTGCTCCGCTGTGGCCACACCCCGCTGGCCCGCGGCACGCTGACAGCATGGGGAACAGAGAGATGCCGTCGCAGCTGAAGTACCCCAGGCCGCCTGCAGCCCCCCAATCCCCAGAATGGGACCGGGCCAGGCAAGAGCAGCTGACACCTTTGCGACCCACAGCCCCCTCGTGTGCGTGAGCGAGCGTGGCCGGTGCTCAGGAAACACGGCCCCCAGACGGGCCCCGGGCGATGCCCGCTGTCTGCGCCCGCTGTCGGGCTCGTCACGTGCAATGCTGGCTGAGACAGGGGTGCGGCCCGGGCCACCTCACAGCCCCTTCTCCACACAGCATGTCATCCTTCCAGCCCTGCTGTGCAGGTCGTTACCCTACTTAGGGGTGGGGAAGGCATTTAAAAAGAAAGACTTGCCCGCCCTGGCCAGTTTGGCTCAGCGGGTACAGCGTCAGCTGGCTGACCAAGGAGGCGCAGGTCCGATTCCAGCCAAGGGCATGTACCTCGGTTGTGGCTTGTCCCCGGCCCAGTCGGGGCCCTGTGGGGGGCAACCAGTCGATGTGTCTCTCTCACATCAATGCTTCCCTCTCTCTCTCTCTCCCTCCCTCGTTCCCTCCCACTCTCTCTA